TAGATTGAATCCTTGCTGGCTGCCTGCGGGGTGACAGGTTTTATTAATCACTTCCAAAGAACCCAACCCCTCCCAAGGTCGGGCCCCTCTGGCTAGTGAGCCAACCTCGCTGCTCATTCTGGCAATTTCCCCCACCGGATCTCTAGACATCAGGACCCTATGGCCGTGCACTGCTATCAGGGGCCTCTTCTCGCAGCCCTGCGAACACCATGTCCTCTGGCCTCTCTTGCAAAGCAGGTTTTCGACCTGACAGACCGTGTCTGTTCCTCCCCTCGGAGCTTTTCGGTTCTTTCCTCCACCACCTCCCACGGCAGTTCCGGCATTTCCTCTTCAGTTTCTCTAGGAGAAGCAGCCGATTAGTACCTTGTCCCTGCTCCTTGCCAGTCTGTTTCATCCTGGTCGGTAAACTCCTCCTTGTCTCAATTTATCTTCTCTCTCCCTTTGACGCAGCACCTTGGAATCCAGCCCCAGGATCCGCCCCGTTCCTGCAGGTACATGTTGGCACCATCCTACCAGCCCCTTTTGGGTATGGGTTGTTTTGCAAGGGAGAGGCCTCTGCACCATCAAGCAAAGGAGAAACACTTGCTTTAAAGAGAGAGGGGTGGGCCACGTGGGCAGGTCTGGGGAGGGTTTCCCAGAATCTGGGGATTTGAAGTTGTTCAAGTGCCTCGACCCAGATAGCCCCATCCATCTCAATTAGGGCTCTGGCCTTGGGGTGCGACCTTTGGAGGCCAAGGCTTCAGCCTGCCCTGGAACTCCCTCACAAAACAAGTCTTGGGTCTGATCCTCGGCTTACGCCTGGCTGTAGGAGATGAGGCTCTTTAGATCCTGCCAAGGAGTCTCTCCGGCTTTCATGCTTAGCCTTTAATTGGTGATTAATCACACTCAGCTTTTCACTGTCTTTTTCTAGTGTGCCCGGCATAGCCATCCAAGTCCATTGTCTTTATAATTTCTATTTTCCCTTACCTCTCAAATGCCTGCCATGCCAACTAGCACAGCCACTCCCATCAGTAAGCTGTCCCAATTCATCAGTGAGGAAAATTCCACAGTTGCATTCCACGATCCCCTCCTGCTGCCAACAGGATCCTTCTTGGTAATGGCTCAGTGAGTGACCCAGCTCCCAAATTCCATGTTTGTTTTTCAAGATCCTGTTTTCCTGGACCACTCCTGGCCCCAGCTGTCCTGGGTTGGGTTCTGGGAGGCAGACGGTGAGATGGAGATCCGCATACGGGAAGAGTAGAAGAGTATGGAGTGGTGTTCTCCGCATCGACACGGGGAGGGAGGGAAGCGGATGTGCAGTGAGTTCGCTGAGGGCTTTGGCCCATCCCAAGGCGAGTGCTGGAGTTGGATGGCCCTTCAAAGTTGTTCTGAAGTGGAGCCAGGGGGCTGGACTTTGCAGCTCCTTCCGGGACCCATCGTGAAATGTGGTCGCCCCCAGGAGGGGGGAGCACGACCTTGGGGTTAAGAGCTCCCTGGCTGTAGGCAATCTCCAGGGCTCTGCAGACAGCTATCAGATGCCAATACTTCCAGGGCCTGGAGAATAGATGCTTCAGCACCGGGCTGGGAGCTGGAGCTGGGCAGGGGGCAGGGCTTGCGCACTCAGGGCAGGCATCCAACACACCGTGCTCCCAGCAGACTAGAACACGGGAGAAGGAGCATGCGTAATTTACTTTTAAAACAAATTTTTTTTTTTTTTTTTTTTTTTACAGAAAATGAGACCTAGGGAACTAGTAAAAGTCAGAGAAGTCTTTTCTTAGAGTTTTTATGCTCATCTTTATTTTTAGAGTTTTTGCCTGCTAGCTCTCAAGTGTCCTTTGGCGGAGAAGTCCCATTTTCTGTAGGTGCAGTAATCCTTAGCAGGGGTGCCCACCAGTGCCTGCCAGCCTGTAAGTTTGAAGTAATTTATATCCACTCAGATCACAGAACAATTTGGACTTCCATAAATTCCTACCTTAAAACAGCCCTTCCATCTTCCCAATTAATTTGTATTTACTCCTCAAGGCTCAGCCCAAGTGCTTCCTCTCTAACTTGATTCTACCCTAGAGCATGGATCACTTCCCATGTTCTCATCGCTCTCTGCCATTTTCGGCATTTATCCCATCAGCGTTGTGGCCCTTTGCTAGACAGGGAGCTCATCAGCAAGGAAACTAGAACATAGAACAAATGCTTGGCATATACGAAGATTCACAAATCCTTGCGAACTGAATAAAAATGTTTCTTCACAGTATCTTTCAATTATTCATACATTTGCACTAAAGCCTGAAGTACCACTGGGTGGGTCAAGTTCTAGACCATACATTTCACATTGGGGTAGAGTGAAGGGCTAAGGCATTTTGATACCAGTCAAGACAAGATGATGTTGGCAATAGAACCTACACATTCAATTTCCTGTGTTTTGGGGATCCCATGAAGACTACTCTGTGATACTTTGTCCAGAGGCTCGTTCAATCTTCATAGACATGTATTTTGAAGAAACTCATAAGTAATCTAAAATCATCCCTGATGCTACTGTGAGTCCTAAATTTAATAGGAACTACTTTCTTTTTGAGGGATTAGTCCTAACTTCAATAGCTGTAATCAAGCAGCCCCATCTGCCGGCATGTATTTTGGTATTTCTCAGTGTCCTCAAGTTTTGGTGAGAGACCGTCACACATAGTAATGTACTGAAGAGCTTCGTGAATACAGGGAGAACCACAGAGACTCCCCTTTGGGTAAATGTTCAGACCTCTTAGTGGAGTCTAGGTAGAGATAAAAACACAGAACAAAAATCCAACAGTGTTTTCCAAAGAACACAAATAATTTACAATCTTGTTTATCCACGATCAATAAGGACTTCTAAACATCTACTAAAAATGATCAGCTCACATGCATTGAATGCATACTCTGTGCCACTCCTAACAAGCATTTTATAGGCATCATCTCATGGATCTAACAAATGCAATACATATTTATTTGAAACCAACAGCAAATCGGGCAGGTGCTAAATTCTTGCCCTTCTCTGGGACATCGCAGAATATGAAGGGCTCTTGGCTTGCTGTGTCCTCCTTCTGAAACGAATACAATTTGAAATCTGTAGCCAGATCTATCTTCTTAGAATAGAGTGGAATTTTTTAATGAGAAAGAGAGCATACAAATTAAGGCTGTATTTTCACTATTATTTTAATACTCACATAATTAGCCTGTGTTTACAGCATGCCTGATGTGGCCCATCCATGAGAAAACAGGGTTAGATACTTAGAGTACTCAGGATTCCTTTGTCCTGAGCTTGGCTGGAAGGTATGGACAACCATTTGACTTTGTTTTCTTATCTGTAGGAAAGAAAAGAACCTATATCCGTTTGATGGAAATATCTGTCCCCAGAATGAATGGATCTAATCTTGCTGGTGAGAGTGGAGTGAATTGCTTACCTTCTTCCTAGAGATGCATCAGCCTTTCATTCAGCAGGGCACTAATTAGAATACTTTTATGAGCAATTTGCTTAAAGGGACCTGGGAAACTAGAAACAATGCAAGTTCAGCAGGTACATGAACTCTTTTCTCATGCGAATGAACGAACCAAATATGAAGGAGGGTCTAAGACTTACGAGAGCATCCTGGCAGGATCAACATGAATCGAAAAACAAGATTCTAAGATGTGAGCACAAAACGATGTAACTGCTCAAAAACCAGTTCATGTCTTAAAAAAAATGTACAGAAACAAGAAGTCTAAACACTCTTTTAGGCATTCACTATTTATAGTGCTGCCTCTAGAAATGTAAGGTTTGATTAAAGAGGGACGATAACCTCCAAGCACACATTGTGAGCTTGGTTCATTTAAACAATTACAAGCACAACCTCTCTGTAGTCTTTTTTAGTTTGTAAACAGCAAAAAGAACTGAACATCTAATTTTTGAAATTCTTCTGGCTTTTCTTTTTGACCTTTGGTATTTGTATGTATTGACGATCTCTAAACCACTGTACAAAAACACCTTGAAGTGTCAAGCTTTAAAAATGAGTCTTCTTTTCTCTTTCTCCTGTGCAGCTTGGATTATCTTGGCCTTGTCAAAATACATTCTCTAGTTAGAGGTTGGAAATATTTCCCTCCTGGCTCCAAAGTATTGATTTTCTTCAACACTCAGCTCTGTCAGTCAGCTGACGGGGTGAAAGGTGAAAGTTCACCCAGCACTGCTTGCCTTTACCTTCCTATTAATGTCATGCCCTTTCCACATTTGATCAGTTTATGTGATCACCAATCATATAGGACTGGTACTGCCCCTATTCTCTCTATAAGGACACACTGAAGTCACCAGGAGACATTAAAGCAATTCCCGGGATGGACACCAGGCATCTGAATAGAGCCAAAGATGTGGCAGGCAGTTCCTTTAATATTTGTCTGTTTTCTGAAAGAAAACTACACTGTTACATGACGACTGGTTCAATTTAAGCTGTTCTATATTCTTATGTGAAAATTAAAGACGCACATTCACAACTTACACATATAACCCTCTATGAGCAACGATGACCTATTTTGTTAGTTTTGCTTTTCCTGAAACCAATTACAGCCATTACCTCAGGGATTCAAATTCAACTCCAAACTGAGTCTTAAATGAAATGAGTTTTATGATCTCCGTCCAGCACCCCCAACTCTGGGGCCAACCCATGTCATGAAATCTGACAAGATAGAATTCCGTACAACGGAAGTCTATTTAGGAGCAACTTAGGGTGGAGATAAAGCACCATGCATGCAAGTACCTTGCCCAAACCACAGAGGGCGCTGTTGAGTTTCTGGTAGGAGTTGTTTCTCTTGCACTTTGGAAACATATTCCTGCTCTACTGTCCTTTGTGACAAGTTTGCCTTTCCTGAAGCTAGCTCTCCAGGGAAATGAATAATTATACAGAAATAGAAGGCTTAATTTGGTACCAAAGAAGGCGGGAAGAGGGCGGGCAGGGGGGGAGAAAGCATATGGATTTCAACTGAGAATGTTTAAGAAGAGTGAACAATGTTTTTAATGAGAAAAACAATCTTCAGTACAATTCAGTTTTATTTAACACACATATGTACACAGGGACATTCAGCACATATAGAATCTATTCAGTGGAAATGTCTTGAGAGGCAGACATTTTAATTCACTCGCTGTGCACAGTGAGTTCAATCGTTACATTTTCATACAGGTGTCACGTCATGTCATCTTTTGCTTGTAAATTACCAATGAAGCCATATATGTCTCTACATTTACAAGGATAGGTCCAAATACAGTGCCAACAAAATCAATAAAACACTAAAAGCATACACTGGGATGACAACACAAAGTTTGCTTCAGTGCTGAGAAATCTAAGCAGTGATGAAGTCTGGGACTGTAGTTATCAAAACAGCCAAGAGGAGATTTGTGTTAACAAGAATGCAAATACTCATTTAGCAGTTAGAGACGTCTAACCATCAGATATCATCCACCCGACTTTTAATATTCTACTGGCCGATAATCAGACAGACTGTGGGACAGGCTGGCCTCTGCCCACTGCCCAGATGTTTTGCCCCTGGGCCCCATGGCTTTGTTCTGGACCCCGGGGTGTGTCCCACTGCGAGTCCGAGGCGGCCTGCCTATTGTCTCACATCTTTGTTTTAAACCCTCTAAAGGTATACTTTTGCTTCATCATTCCAAAACAACTTTGTAGTCTAGAATAAGTTAATCCCTATTTAAGTTCATAAAGTAAACATGTGCTGGGTATGGAGAAGACTTGGGAGCCCACTGAAAAAACCAAGCGCAACTTTTGTTTACCTCAGGTTTTTCTACCTATAATCGAACACAATGGCATGTGCACCAAACAAATAAATCTACACTGGATAGTTCTTTGTTTCTTCCTTGGAAACTACATATATAATCTTTATAAATACAATGTACATGCATGTGGCATCAATTCACTTTTAAAAGAACACCCAAAGTCTAAAACCAAGCAACAGTACAGGTTTGTCATCAATGCAAATAACACACTTCATATCAATAGGAAAGAGACGTTCTAGTGGATCTTAATTTCTTAACATGTTCTTTAAAAATCTGTTTTAGTAAAATGACAGATGGATTTGTTCCTGGACTGTGATCCTATTTTTTTGTATATTACATAAACTCTTAACAATCTACGCTTTTCCAATTAAATGCTCCCATTATCATTTTGGTTCCTCTGGAAATTTCCTACCTTCTCTGAATTTAATAAATCATTTTCTGTTTTAGCATTTAATAAACCATTGTGTCTAGCCAACCAATCAACAACTAACCAAACAACCAAATGCCCAACTATGTACAGATCAAGATTTGTTAGGAGCAATTCATACAAAATATTATTTTATGGATTTTTTTTTCCCATTACTATGAGCAAGAACCGGCATAATTTGACATAAAGAGAAGAAAGCGACCTAGTTAAAGTTTACTTCGAAGTGTGATGGACACCCTCATTGCAATGTTTGCTCAAATAACTTGAGAGCCCTCACATTTTATATATTCTCCTGAATGCTTGTGCCATAGGTACTAATTTTCTAGGACACTTGTGTAAAAGAAATGCTGTCTTTGTTTTCCTTTAATTGATCAGTTTGAAGGCTGAACTGTAACTATTCCATGATGACTGACATAGGTTGTACACGTGGGAACTGTAGGTCTGTAAGGTTTCTGGAAGGAAGGGGTAAGGTCTTTCTTAAAAGGACCTGTAGCAACAGACATAAGAGTCTTCTTATTTAGTATATGCTATGCTTCCAAACTCAGTTCTTTATTATAAAAGTCCATTTAAGAGATTAGAGTGACTGGATAATTATATTAACTAGATCATAAATAGTGATGATTTTTTATTTTAAACTACTAAATAGACTACTAAGCAGGATACGAGCATTTTAGAAGGCTAGGTGCCTGGGAAACTCTATTTTCCGTGAGGAGGAACAATTTTTTGGTGTATTTTCTCATTAATTTCCAATCTGTTAGGTATTAATAAAGAAAGAGTGGCTAAACCCTAGGAAATTGGGAGTGAGCAGTTTCCTAGCAGTCATGGGGGGAAAAAAACCAACCATGTAAACACAGAATCTTTTTGGTAAACAGGAATATATTTTAGGCGATCTAAAGGAAAATAACTTTGCTAATTAGGACTGCCACAATTACCTCAAAACCCAACGTCAAAACCACCAGGTTCAAGCGGGAGCTCAGAGGTGGGGTTGCTGACCTGGGCTGGGAACACAATCACAGTGTTTACTGAACTGGAGGCTTCTGGTGCACCAAGCGACAGGAGGGATCCTGGGGCCCACAGACATCCCCCACCCCCAGCCCCGGCGGGGGGAAAAACGACCTAGTGCTGACAGAAGGGCCACATCCTGCAGAGCGGTGTGTGCATGCCTCTGAATCACAGGTGACACAAGTGGGCATCTGCCCCCAAGAGCCATGCAGGAGTGACCTGGCCTCGGCCGCGCCCCCGGGGGGCACTGGTGCGGGCAGGCACTGAGGAATGATCCGTGTGAGGAAGGACAGAGGACTCTCAGCTGGGAGAACGGACGGACAGAACTCGGAGGTGGCCAGGGCAGCAGGCGCCAGCGTTAGACCATGAAGCGGTGCTCCTTCCCGTCGTGGGCCATGAGGATGACGTTGCGGTTGGAAGTCCAGATGAGCCGGGCCAGTCGCAGCGCGTTGTGGGAGCCGGGCGAGGCGGGCTGCACGGGGGGCACCTGGTAGGTCTTAATGCAGCGCAGCTGAGGTGCCGAGTTCAGCATGCCAATGCTCCCCAGCAGCGAGGTGTTCATCTGGGGAGACACAGGGACATGAGAACACGTGTGTCACTTAAGGAACCCTCTCCTGGTCACTCTCTCTGCCACAGCGCTGATTCGCGTTCAGCTGAGCATCTGTCCTTAGCCCCAACAGCGCGCCTCTCGGTGTGCCTGGGACCGCTCTGGTGCTGCTCCAGTAAGTGCATCAATCCAGGCAAATCTGACTTCGTGGGTAGAACCTGGCAGCCGGAGCAGCCATCAGTCTTTAAGAAGGGGGCTAAATGATGGGTGTTAACAAAGCAGCTCAGTCAGACAATCTTTGGCAATTGTGGGTACTTCACACAGCCGACCTTTTCTGTTCCTTCCCGTCAGGACTCCCTGCACCCCCCCAAGGACGAGTCAACCAACACAGTTTTGGGGACTTCCAGGTCATTCAAGGAAACCAAGCAAACTGGCATCCGTCCCCGTGACCCTGTCCCCCTGCGCATGTACCCACACCTTCCCTCCTCACCCGCTTTGTACAGAATTCAGTCTCTGGAAAGCTCCAGTTCATTCTGAGGGGGAAACCCGGAGTCAACTGCATCTCAACACCGTATCTGTGGCTTGCTTTTTGCTGCCACGCTGAACGGAGGACACTCTAATACTTTAATGGCAATACGTTTTTATCAGTTCATTTCTGCTTTTTGGTGGCTTTTCAGGATTTGATTTGAATTTTAAGTTCTCTTAATCCATTCACAGCAGTGAAAAAGAACACGGAAATTATGGCTCAAGAACAACTATGTGTTCAGTCCAAGTGCTAAATACTGAAAGGCAGTTACCCCAGTGAACTGTTACCTGAGCAATGGGGTCTGAAGAAGCCTGTGGATTCTAAATATTACTTAACATTGTTTCTCAATATACCTTTTTTTGTGCTATTGCAAATCACATGGAAAGCATACTGAAAATCAGAAAAGAGGTCTCAGAAATAGTATTTTTCTTTGCACTAATTTTCATTTCCAGTTCTTCTCTTCAGTATAACCCCCGTCTAAATGCATACGATTCTAGGGTCTTGTATAAAGCATGAAGATTATGGTTCAATGTATACAAATGGATGACACATGAAACCTTGGCAAATCCTGGGACATGTACACTGGGTTATTGCTGATATCATGCTCTGCATTTGGATCAGTGCAAAATATAAGCCATTCTTTTCTCCGGCCCTTCTCGGCAGCACGATGGTGTCAGAGGGCGTAAATCATGGCATCTCTAGCAGGATGCGTGCAGGCTCCACTGACATTTTCACAATTTAAATCATCTTGAGTAATAACCCTTTTAAGATGACTAATGTTACTGATTTTCCTGCATTAATAATAGTGCCGAACACAACACAGAGGTGAAAAAAAATCACTAGTGTACGAGGTCACATTTTAAAACCAAATGTATGGTTATCATTAACTCTTTCTATTAAAGTTAACATTTAAAACTAGACAGTACCTTACTGTCTGTCATCCTCCAAAAACTTCTTTCCTTCCTTCCTTCCCCTCACCTTTTCCAAAAACTCCATAACAGACAAAAATCAATGTCTTGTTGCTTTCGGAAGGTTCCCAAATAGTTTAAATATAAATAATGGTGGTGAGCTTGATTTGATAGTCCTCACTTGTACAAAAAAGTAACAGTACATAATAATTTAGTCCTCTAACAGAACAGATCCAAATGATCCAGAAAATTGGTGGTTAACATTAACTGGCATCAACAGGCATACTGTGCTTTAATAATAATTAATAAAAAAATCTCATTTCTCAGTTGATAAACAACTACAAACTATTTTTCATTCTTTATGGATTTTCTATGAAAATATGTATGAAGCTTGAGTTCTGCTGGTGACTCCAAATGCTAAGGGTATCCAACATGCTCAGCCACTTCCTTATTTTTAATTCTTTCCTGCAAAATTTAGCCGCATACCAGAAACGTGTTGAGGGCCAAAGGGCGACAGGGAGAGGGTACCTTATTAGAATGCTATGGATGGAAAAACGTCAACAAGAAGTCCATCATTCCATCTGGGTTCTCCTTATAAGCTGAGCCAGCCCATGAGTGACTGATAGATCATTTGATAAACTGATTGATAAATGCCTTTGGAAGGGTCACACAGCCTTCCCGCCTCAGAACGGGGCTATGTGAAGTTCTATGTGGGATGGCAGTGTTACACATGCACAAGGCTGGGATGAGGAAGACCCTGAGGTTAACGAGAATGTGTTGATCCTCAGAGCATGCTCTCCCTATGACCTCTTCAGAGTGGAGATAATCTGAAGTAGTAAAGGTGAGTATTCCTTTTTCCAAAAAGCTCAGCCAAACAATGCTCACTGCAGCAACGAACCATGCTGTTATCCAATATTAATGTTTTCTTGACCAGTGACCATCTTACAAACTACATGAAAGGGCAATCTGAGTCTCGAATGAATAAAAACTACCCGGAGTTAGAGTATTTGGTAACCTTCAAGTTTTTCTTAATTACAAAGATACTAAACAACTCATTGTGGAACATTTCAATAATAAAGAGAAGTATAAAAGAGAAAGCAAAAGTCCCCAAAATCTTACTTCCCAAAGACAATCACTAACATTTTGGCAAACTTCTTTCCAGACCTACAATTTTGTGTACATATAAGAAGAAGCGGGTTTCAGGAGTTTTATGTAAAACAGGCTCATATTAGAAGGCAGTTAGTTTCACAATCTGCCTCTTTCATTCAAAAAAAAGTTGAGAACCATCTTTTCATGTTAATGGCCACAGATTTACAGTATCCTTTTTAAAGGCTGAAGAGGATTCTATTTTACGGTGGAATATATCACCATAAGTGAAACCAATATCCATCTAATTTACTTTGGGCATTTCTGGGAGAGAATACTCCCTAGTTGGAGGTAGTGGTGAAATTTAGGTGAGGGAATCACAGTTGTACTTGATTTCGTTACTCAACTCCCCTCGTTCAAATACCAACGGAGACCCTGATGTGAAATATTCAACTTATAGGAATATGTTGTCAGAGGATCAAAGGGTTTGGAAGATTGCCTGATGACATCATTCCATAGCTGAGTTTGTAAATAACTAGAGGGCAACTTTGGTTTTTCCCTTCCCTTTAAAAATAATGCTTCACAAAACCAGTTCTGTGAAGATTATTTTCTGAACACATAGAAACACATACAGATGTAATTCATCAAAACAGAAAGTGTTTTAATGCAATTCTCAGTGTAAGTAATGCTGCACACAAACCTTTTACTAAGTCTCACTTGAGTAATTATCCAACCAATATTTCTCATTAACACTCATTTCTCAGCAAAGATTTTAATAGCTCATAGCTTTTGTAAGGTCCTGTATTAATAAGACTTCATTAAGTTTTCAAAATATATTACAGTACATTTACTGGAATAATACAAAAGTATTATCATACATCATTAGAACTAAACAATATGTATCTAAATAAATCAGCAAAACCCCTTTTGGGAGAGCAGCAGGAGATCCAACAATGCTTTCTTGACTCTCTTTAATTCAAATCAACCCCCCTTCTACCTTCTACCTCTGGAAGAGGTTTTATTCTATTTTCTTGATAAAGCTGAAATGTTTCCGTGCCTTTGGCTTAAGTTTCAAGACCCAGTGGGGTATAATTTAAGAAATGGGCTGCATTTTACATCCTGACATTGGGTTTGGAGGCGAAGACTTGGGTGTTGCCTGAGCTGCCCCCGGGCTCGGTGCACTGCACCCGCACCTGCGGCCAGCCCGAGGCGGCCCGGGGAGTGGAGGAGCGCGCGCCAAGGAAGTGCGCTATGGTTCCATCACGCGCATGGCCGCGTGTACAGACGTGCAGGTTCAAGTGTGCTTGGCAAAGCCCAGGGGCAGCGGCACGAGGCTGAAGAGGGGAACTGGAGAAGAAGTATCTCGGAAAGCTACCATCTATCTAACGAATGATCCCGAGCCCTAAGGTGAGAAAGGATGCTAACCCTAATCCCCTCAATGTGCTAGGCAGGAACTTTGATAAAAATAGAAAAAAAATTCAAGGAAGAGATGATCATATCCAAACAGAACCCTGAACACCTAGATCATGGGGAAAAGGTTTACCATATAGAAAATCAGGAAAATACTGGAAACAGTTTCAAATCTGGTTAAGTTAGGAGGTATTCCTTTATAAAACAAATTTTTTTTTCTGAGAAAAGTTGGACAAAACCAAAAAGATTTTTGTTTATTCCACAAAGAAAGCATGGACCAACCCAAGCTCCTTGAAAGCGGGAACTTACGGCTTGTTGACTCCATATCCCTAAAGGAGAAGCCGGCACCCGGCACTTCAATACCATTGAATAAATGTGGAATGAATGTGGAGCTTTATATAAACACTCCTCTGGGATTCCAACAGAGTGGGAAATAGCAGAAAATTTGTATCAAAGCACAGTTTGTATAAAGAGACCACTGTATAGAAAAACAATTGGTGGGGGAACCCTTTAAAGAAGCACTGTTGCGAGGGTCCACTCTACGGACGCCTAACAGGCTGGTGGCGTGGATGGCAGCAGTGCAACACAGGCCCTGCAGTGGGAGAAATGGGGACCGGGGAGCTCTCCCAGGGAAAGAGTTTAATATGAGCCAATTAAGGTGCTGGAGATATATTCTGGGAGAAAAGATAATGAGAAAATAAACTGGAAAACTAAATTAGATGAAGAGCAGGAAAAGTCTGTGACAGATTTGGAAGTTGTCATGCTTTAATAGCATGTTGTTAATTAAGCAATTTATTGTATCTGTTTTACATTTTATTAGGTATTGATTTTTTTAAAACCATCAAGTTGTGAAGTCTTATTTAAACTTTCACTTTTTTTTTTAAGCTTTCAAGGCAATAAACTGAATCTCATAAGACATACTTGCATCCTAGGAAAGTAAAGGTAACAACCAAATTTTAAATTGGCTTTTCATGAAGGAGGGAGTTGATAATGTTTAATTTTTTTATAACTATCAGGAGGAAGATAATTAAAAAGATGGGATGGAGATTAATCACTGAGGACAAAAGAAATTCTATTGTAAAAATTAGGTGCTCAAAGTTAATATGCATTTTAATCAGAATTAAATATAGGCATCCTCATAGACTGCCACTCAGTGATACTCAGGTTTTTGAAAATGTCTGGGTAGTTTGGGAACGAAGAGCCCTATGTGGGAAAGTGAGAATGCGAAGAGAAATTAGATAACGTAAGCAGGGTATGGAGGTGATACCCGGCTGCCCTTCCCCTGTACCCTCTGCCCCGCTGGAGCTGTCCGCATCCTTGTGCAGGGCCTGCCGGGCCCCGTGCCTTTCTGGCCAGGCCCTCAGGCACGCCGTGCCCTTGCTTACCACCGAAAGGCTCTCCCTTTCTCTCAGTCTGCCCTACCCTTACCCTCTGGCCCTTCCTCACCCTTGTCGTGTCTCAGTTCAGATGTCACTTCCTCTGTGAGCTGGTCCCACAACCTTATTCTCAGGCTCCCCTCTGTATTATAATTGCTTCTTTACATGTGTCTCCCGCAGACCTCAAGCTCTGTGAGAGCAGACCCTACTCCCTCCAGATGGCTCACTGTATTCTCAGTGCACCCCGCATGCTAGCATGTGGCACAGAATCAGTCAGCAATAAATACTTGATGTTTGTTGAAAAAAGAGGGGAGGGTAGGAGGAAGGGCAGGTGGGCAGGCCTAACAGGAAGCCTCTCTCAGCAAAAGCGAATCATGCAGTATACACCAAGACCCTGTGGCATCTACACTTACCTGCCAGAAAGAAATGTGGCTGTCCGTATTTGAGTAGGTGGCAAGATATCGTCCATCAGGGGCAAAGGCCACTGCAGTGACTGGTCCCTTGTGTCCATGGATTGTCTGAAATAAAGTGCAGTCATTAATGGTCTGCAGTCCACAGAACTATTGCACATACACAAGCAAATGCATTCAATGTTGAACAAGTTATGTCACGGAGATTAGATACTGTTATGTTCTTGATTTATAAAATCAGATTAGAAAAATAGGGAAAGCAACCAAAGTTCTCTCGCTGATATATCCAAGGGCTTTATTTAATCTTGTTCTGAAGGATCTACCTGTATCTGAGTTGGGAGAACAGCATGAATCCAAAGGAAAAGCGTATATTAATGGGTGAACCAATGTGTTAATTCACTTATGTCCATTAGAGGGAAGAATTTTATAATTAATTAGGAAGGTAAGCAAGTGATCACCAAATCTATGTAGGAACCTCACTCATCTGAAATGAAAAATAATCAAAGCTGTATCATAACATCCCTGTTCTGGAAGGAGTTAAAAACTATAATTTCAACCCTTAGTAATTATACATTTTTCATGTTTTATGCTTCATTTCCCACCAATAACACTGTGTTTAAATGCATATGGCTGCAATTAGTAAACATACACATACCTGGTGGAGGTTTGAGCACATATATAAATCAAGTACTATTAAAAACAAGTTAACAGAGATAATTTTGAGCCTCTGCCAAATAGCTATCATTGATTTAACCATGAATTGAAAAAAGGGAGTTGTATTTTTGACGAGGTCTATGATAAAAGGTCTTTACTAATACAAAATTACACTCGTTTCATGATATTAAGTTATCAAAAATACTGGCATACTAAAGCAAATTAGCATAATATTATATTAGAGTCCTTTCAGTCAATGACTAAAGAGCATACCTCCACCACATTAACCAATATTCACTCTGCTTACAAGCTGTGGGTTGGTTTTCTCCCTTTGTCTGAAAGCAATGGAGAAATATGTTCTCTTAAACTAAGACAATACCAGGAAGGTTTATTTCCATCTGCTATTTTTTGATGAACAATTGTGAACCCTGAGTCCTGGTGGGCACATCGGGCTCATTAGGTGACTCAGCCACATACATATTGTAAATTTCAGTAAGAATAGTCTCCTAATTTATAGCTGAGTGATTAAAATGAGGTAGCGAGGGAGGAGAGAGGGATGGGGATACAGCTTGTTCCTTAGTTGCTCTTTGGATTTTGTTCTTTTCTGTCATTAGACTTTCAGGGCACTGTCGGATCCAAAATAATGCCTGTTTTTCCACACTTGGAGAAAACATGTTCTACTGGTAAAACACTGGGCTTCGGGCTGGCAGAGAGCACTGCTCTGAGTCAGGCAGCCTGGCTTGCATTTGGGCTCTACTGCTTGCTGAAGGACCTAGGGCAAAGGGTGGAAGTTACTTAACCTCAGAGTACCCATGGCTAGAAAGGAGGAATGATGATGATGATGATGATGATATGTGCCTCAAAGAGCTCTGTGAAGATTAAATGAGTTACTAGATATGTAGCACTCTGCACAGTGATGGCACAGAATAAGAATCCAATAAGCAATATTAATGTTTGTATGTACTTCCCCTCACGTAAAGATGACCAGACATATAGATTTGAAAGCTGTTAGGAGAGTAGATCTTAAATGTTCTCAGCAACAAAAAAAGAAATGTAATTATGTGACAAGATGGAAGTGTTATTAGCTAATGCTGTGGTGATCATCATTTTTCAATATATAAGTTTATCAAACCATCACATGTACACCTTAAACATATATGTTATATGTCAATTGTATCTCAATAAAACTGGGAAAAATGATTAGGCAAATGTAAACAATCACAAAACTTGATTACTTGAGTATACAATTTAATGAAAAGGAAATGCCCTAATCATATATCCCAGAATCAGTGTCAGCGAGCATACGAGGTAGTCCAGAAACAGATTTCATTTCATTAAACGGATATGGTAACTATCCATGGTGCTAGGCCACTAATGTGGTGCTAAATTAAGCAACGGGGTGAGCATGCATGCTGAATAATTATTCTGCCATCTACACTAAAATGAAAATTACTGGGGATGAGGGTAAAGAACTTAACCAATTAAAAGGGAAAAACTGACAACTCCCACTTACTAGGGCAATTTAATGAGCTCATTGGAAAACATCTTTAATTGTTTTTTAAAATCAAGATTCAGTTCTGCTAAAAATCTGAAAGCTTATGGGGCCAATTTAAAGCTATGTTATGGTTAAGACAGTTGATTAGTAAGGCCTTGCTTTAAAACAGAGGTTGTAAACTAAAGACTCTTAAGCTGAAACCAGACTGTAGATGTGTTTGGTTTGGCCTGAAAGATGTTTCCAAAAATGTTTTCTGGTCATCATGTAAAATCAAGATTTCTAGCCTCTCCTGAAAGACCGGAAGCTCTGGCAATCCTGGGTCTTTGTTTACATGTGGCTACAACAGCCAGGGATGAGGTGAGGCAGCCCCTTCAGCCTGGACACTTGCCCTCCACTTCCCCTGTTCCATCCCCCACACACAAGAGGGCCTGCACAGCTAAGACCCGCTGCCTGGCTCCCTTATTTCCTGCCTGGTCTCTCCTGGCATTTAATGCAACCTTTCCATTAAGAATACCTGATTCAAAATATTTTCTTCTGTAAGAAATAAAAAGTGTTGGCGAGGATGTGGAGAAAAAGGAACCCTCGCTACAGCATTGGTGGGAATGCAACTGGTATAGCCACTGTGGAAAACAGAATGGAGGCTCCTCAAAAAATTAAGAATAGAAATATCATATGGTCCAATAATTCCACCACTGGGCACTTACCCAAAGAAAATGAAAATACTAATTCAAAAAGCTATATGCACCCCTCTGTTTACTGTAGCTTTATTTACAATAGCCAAGATATAGAAGCAACCGAAGTCCATCAATAAATGAATGGATAAGGAGGATGTGGTGCATACACGTGTGCACACACACACAAATATTACGCAGCCATAAAAAAAGATGAGAACATGCCATTTGTGACAACATGGACACACCTAGAGGGAGGGCATTGTGCTAAGTGAATTAAGTTAGACTAAAAAAGACAAATACCATATGACTTCACTTATATGTGGAACCTCAAAAAAAAAAAAAAGCAGAATCAGACCTATAAACACAGAGAACAAACTGATGGTTGCCAGAAGGGGGGGGATGGGCAAAATGGGTGAAAGGGATTGGGGACATCCAGGCTTCCAGTTATGGAATGATTATGTCATGGGAATAGAAGGCATGGCATCAGGAGTGCAGTCAATGATAGCGTAATGGTGTTGTGTGCTGACAGGTGGGGACTACACTTGTGTGAGCACAGCATAATGTTTACACTTGTCAAATCACTAGGCTGTATGCCTGAAACTATGTAATGTAACATTGTGTATCAACTATACTAAAAAAAATCCAAAAAAACCAAAATAGTTTCTTCCATGTTCTGGGGTCCTAGTATGCGTTTAAAGTGTGAGTAGACTAAAAGTTCCTCTGAGAAAAGTGGGCCCTTCCTACAAGCCCCCCAAAGCCCAACTTTGTGTAGAAGTGGATGAGCCCCCTTCTGGAGTTTGGGCCCCTAAATCTCGAAAACAGAATGCTAAACCTGCCCTCCTTCAGATTAGCATCCCTCCTTTGTCAGCAACCAGGATGTGCTCCCGACAATAAGAAGGCAACGGTGAGTTGGCCATCAACCAGCAGGTCCAAAGGATGTACCAACCCAATGGTCACATGAATGTAACTCTCCCTGAGGCTAAGTCAGCCCTGTTGTAAAGGCAGAAAGCCAGACACACTGGCTCCTTCAGAAAAGTCTTCACAAACTCTTTTCTTATTACATGTTCATCTTTTACAGAGGGCCGTATTTAAAACATCCACTTGAAGATTACTTCTGTGTCAGCTGAGGACACCCTTCCTTATGCTATCCAGTGTCTCTAAGAGAAGATCCTGTGAATTAGATTAGATGTCAGCTTGGACTTTTCTGCCAGTAACATGTTTACCTTTTCCAATAAATGTTGCTGCTTTCTTGTATCATGTAACAATAATTACATAATCTTAACATGTGCTTGCATACTGAACTGCATTTGCTAGTTTGTTTAAAGTCTGTTTTGGGCAAAGGGGCACTACACCTAAGATCAGAACACGCAGATACTGCTAGGCGCCCCACAGGGTATCTTAACCTGGCCCAGAGAAAACCCTGGAACTCAGACTACAGTGTCAGCTCAGAGACCTGTTGTCTTATAAGAAAGCAAGTACCACTCATGGTAGCTCAGGGAAGCTCACTGTTTTCAATGGTTTGCTACATCTGGTGAGTTCATTACAATCTCAGCCTAAGAGGTGCTTCAGAGTGCAGTGTAATGGAAATGTCGCCATTGTCTTTTGTTCCGAATCTCTGCACTTCTTGGAACCGTGCAGGCACCACCTGAACTGACTTTAACCTCGCTTCCGGCATCAGAGATGCAGCTGTGCAGGGATCATGCAAACCTGTTAAGTGCTCTGGATGGGGCAAACCCATCTTAAATGCTGAACACTAAAGAATATTTCCCAGAACAACAGGTTTCAAAATAAAAGGAGATGGGGTCTACATTTATATGCGAGTGAGTATCATGTCTTATTTTTCATCAAAGTAATTGCTGTCTTGAAAAGACAGAAATGGAATACAAAGAAATTAATCTAATTCAAGAAGTGCTATGAACAATAAAAGAAATCAAGCAGTTACCCCTAGCAGGAGACAGAGTGTGGAACTATTAAACACCCCCTCTGGTGTTTCTTACCAAAGAAAAGGAACTGGGAGGCAGGATTAGTAATGAGCAATGCTGCAACTTGCCAACCAATTTTAACAGGCACTTTCCATGTACTCTGCAAAGAAACATAACTAACCCTCCTGTATAGAGAAGGAGAGGAGAGGCACAGATTTCAAAAACGATATGGTCAGTGCCAACAGAAGCTATGACCGTCTAGGATATTTTCTTTAAAACTGTTCTTTACATGGTCTGTCTCTTCCTGGAGTTCTTGATATTCAGCTTCCAAAGGACAAGTTTGAGAACTGAAACCAAAATGTA